AAAGACATTGACTCTCCAGAAGAGGACGAGTCAACCAAAAGGCGATACACTTATTCACTGCCTCTTATAGACAGGCAACTCAGCGTAGACATCGAAAACACTTCCCAATCCATTGAGACCCCGGAGCTTCTCAATGAGTCGCCTAATCATACGATATGCCAAACGGGTGTCGACTCGAGCCGAGAGAATGCATCGAAAAACTTATCACACGTTCACTGCAATGGAGACTACAGTGAATGCATGAGTGGTGGCAAAGAGCAGTGGGTCTGTCCCGTAGGTCTGGCCCGGAGTGTGAGCTGCGAGACGATGGACGCACTCAACGACAAAGAGAGAGACCAACTGAGCTGTGATATGAATTCTAGTGGTGGTGGTGGTGGTGTGAGCACTGGTAGCACAAAGTCGTCGTCGTGCTCGTCGTTAGTGCTGCTCTCGAAGGAGTTGTCTCTCTCGACGAGTGTATCGCTGTTAAGTCCGGATCAGTTGGGATCCAACGACGCCTTCATGCTATTCCTATGCCTCACAATACTGTTGCAGAATAGGGACAAAATAATGAGCAATCATTTGGACGCCAATGATATTCAGATGTATTTCGACGGTTTGGTCCGCAAGAACGATGTCATCTCTGTGTTAGACTTCGCTCGCCATCTCTTTCACAACTATCTGTCTCATTGGCATCACGACTACGACTCCCACCCCTAACACACATCGCTGTTTGCATTCAATTTACAGTATATTATATAACAATATTATAGTAAATCCAGTCAAGCATTCAATGTTTTACTACTGTATTGCCGTAATAAATGATATATACATTCAATGGTATATAAAATTGTCTTTCAATAAAGCGTTCACTCATTGACTCCATTCGAGTCTCTCGAATAAGACAACTAATTCGCATCGATTCGTATGGGGGAAGAGGTCGACGGGTATGGCCCTCATTGGCACGAATGGCTGGCCTTTGTATGTCTTGGATGGCGGGCGACATAAGCTGCGGAACAGTGAAAAAATGTATCAATTGAGTACAACAGCCATCGGTGTGATCAGAGACTCAACACTCACTCAATCAGATTCTTAATGGCTTTGTGGGGATCGCACGACACGTAAACCAGTCTCTTGAGCAACGGATGGCTCCTTAGGACTCGAACGATGGAGTTATCTATGAGTTTGAGTTGAAAAACAATTATACTGTCAATGGAGTGGTCATTACGTACTGAGTCCAGCTCTGGGCGGGTCTATCACAGCGACTACTGGTGTGTCGCCACAAGAGTCCAAAACACTTGACACGTGCTCTTCAGCCTTGCCTTCGATGAACTCGACATTAGAGATGCCATTCATTTGTGCGTTGAATTTGGCGTCACTGATGGCGTCGGCACTCAATTCGATGCCGAAAACCTTTTTCACTTTCGATGCCAACGACAGGCCTATAGTTCCCGTTCCGCAGCATATGTCGAGAAGTATTTGCTCGGCGTTTGGTTGAATGAGATCCGAGATTGCATTATAGCATAACTGTGCGCCCAATGTGTTGATCTGGAAGAAGGCCAGTGGACTGATTCGGAAGGTTAGCGATCGGTCGTCCAGTTGCATGGTCTCCGAAATGGTGGGCTCGCCGTACAGGTGTTCCAAACACTCGGTCGATATCTCATGCCTTTTGGCTGAGATGTGAATGTAAACGCAACTCACATTCAAATCGCGGTTTGATTCAAAGAAGTGCAAAATGTCGGCCTTTTCTTGGGTTATCTCCTCGGCGGTCAATTGCTGTGGATTTAGTACCAGAATAATCATAGATCCAGTGCTCGCTGTCCTAACTGTCGCCTGAATCCAATGCCC